TGCCGGGTCCGTGAGGAGGGGGCAGAAGACAAGCCCCCAGCACTGCCGTGTTGAAAGCGCAGCAGCCTAAACCCGCAAGGCGGGAAGATAAATGCAGGGCTGGAGGAGTGCTGACAAGAGGGGTGCAATAGTCTTTAATTAACGTCCTACCCACCACCGCACCCCCCCCCCCTCCCCCCCGGCACAAGCAGGCGAGCCTGCAAGTTGCTGCCACAAGAGATTTCCCTTCCCCACCTCCCTTTTGGTTCACAGATGGATCAGGATCAGTTTGGGGGAGGAAGAAAAACAGAAGAGCCGCTTGTATTTTGAAATGCCTTTTGGTTTGTACCTGGGGTTCGTGCCATTGGGAAGCTTTAACCGAATTACTCTCCCATGTGGAAAGAGCCTTTTGCTGAGCCCTAGACCAGTGCCAGCCTGTTCTCTGCTCCCCACCAGTTCCCTGATTTGCACTACACATGTTGCTGCTGCTGCATTTGCTCTGAGCATGTCCAATCTCTGATTTAAGGATAAAAACAGATGTCAGAAACTCTTTCCAGCCAGGTGTTCCTCTCATCACTTACTCTGGTAATGCCTGCACAGTAAGGGAAGGATTCCAGAGTAAGAGCCAGACAGACCACGGAGTGAGAAAGTAGTTAGAAGACATATGTTCCCTACAAAGGGTGTCTGTGTTTCTGTGCATTTTTTAAAGCTGCTGCCTTATTAGTGAGGTGACTGATATGACTGACATGACTGACAGCATGTTGTTCTGGTGCTAAAGGAAGATAAATAAACCTCCATAGCATCTAGAGTAAAATAATTGTGATGACTAAATATATTTTATTCCCCTCAATATCTGCCTTGATAAGTAAGTTCTTTTACTGTGGGGGGGCCTACCACTGCCGTCACCATGCTGCCTGCATTAGGTTGTGGCTACTTGTCTGTGCTTAAAAACAATTCTAAAATACACGGTGTAAATCTTGTGGTGAAGTCCAAGAGAAATGGTGTGTGTTATGGGAATATTGCTCTGGTGTTTTTACTCTTGTTTTTTGGTGTGTTGTACAGGCTGGTTTGCAAAACCTACAGAAAAGAAGGCATCGGTGAGTCCTCATGAGGACATGAAGGCGGCTTTTATGGCTGAAATGAAAGCTGAAAACATCAAGCAGTTTCTTTAGTAAGCAATGCATAGACTAATCAGTTAGGAAAAAAAAATATTCAAGCAGGAACCAGCCCAAGGATGCAGCTAGACAGGGGGTGGTGTGCAGGTTCTTAGCCACAGGTTTTATCTAATGTGTCCCAGTGAGCTGTGATTGATCAAACAGCCAACCGTAGCTCCCCTCATTCCTGTGTTGGAAACAGATGAGTTGTAAGTAATCTCACTGTTTAAAGTAATTAAAAATTGGCCAAGCTCTTGCTCATTTCTTGTTTTGGTGAATGCTTATACAATGATGTAAAGGTTCAGCCTTTGTCTTACGTGTCCTGTTTCATTTACAGCGTTTATCTAACGCCATTTTTTATGGAAATTAATTCACTTCAGATCAGGCTGTATGAATAACTTAAGTCACGAGAGATTAAATGGAAAATAGCAGGGTGCATCAAAGTAAAAGAGAAGAAAATTATACCAGTGTTCGAGCCTTTAGTTCTTCCTATGGCTTAGGCCTTAATACCTTATTGCTACTCTCCCTTCACACTTTCTCATGCTGTGACCATATTTATGTGTGAATCTGTCACCATTCCGACCTTGTACTCACTTTCATGAAGAAGGATATGTTTCCAAGCTCTCTCCCTCTGCATAGTGAATAGCTAGAACAGACACAGTAGATACCAGATGGTCATCTGATGGCACATTAGACTGTTTGTAATAAATCTAATAGTCTTAAATGTTTAGTCTTTTTTAAGACCATATTTTTTCCCAATATTTTTTTCATTTCATCTACCCTTTAGTACTTAAATTAGTTGATTTTAAATATACTCTGTTTCTTTTATTAATTCCTAGAAGGAAAACTGCTGATATTTGTTCCTGAAAATTCAGACAATAGAAGCTGACAATACAGATTTTAAAAAATCTATTATGGTTTAATTACTGTAATTAATTTTATAGTATCTATAACAGAAGCTTTAACTACAAGGAAGCTGATTTACTATTATTTGTTTCTTTTAGGAATCTTTTAAACAGATTATTTTTCTCTTAGGAGAGTGTAGTATTTGTTAATAGCTGTATTTATTCCAGTCAGTAATAGACCAGAAGTCACAGTTTATTGACAGAAATATACTTTCTGTGTAAAGAAAATGTTAGTATCAGTTATTTTAAGAGTAGTCAACAAATTTGGGTTTGCCTTAAATTCCCAGCCTGATTAAATGGCATGAAGTTTTATCTGGCAACAAAACCAATTACCAAAAAACTGTTGTTGATTTATAAGATTGTGGCAATCCCACTGATTTAATTTTAAGTGTACCTGCCACAAACTATTACAAATAAATTAGCTGGAAAATATGTTCTCTTTACTACGTAACAGCCATGTCCTGAACTATGTAAACATTGAATACTGAAGACTCAGGATTTTTTATAGTCTTAACCTGTGTTTTGGCTCTGACAGTCAACTGCTGTTTAACAGCTCTGTAAAAGAATTGCTTTCTGCCCTCCAAACTCCCTGTCTCTATGCCAGCAGGAAACATTGTACCTCATTTACTGTTACTTGGCCAGTTCTGCGGGGAAATACGGCAGATACTTAGTCACGACTCAGAACTACCAGTACAGGCAGTCAGCTCATTGGAAGAGGAAATTAAGAAAAACACAGTATTTGTTTAAATAGGAATATAATATAGGAAGATGTTATTGCATAAATTAAATTTTAATGAAAACATGAGCCTTAAGCCTTCCTAACTCTTACAGTAAACAGCCATGGGCTCTGACAGTAACACATAACTGTGCTCTTGGTTCAGTATGTCACCCAGAAAATGGTACTGTCACTGTAGCTGGGACTTTCAGTACAGTCTTGGTACTAGATGTTGGCATTATCAGAGGAACATGGTTGTATCTAGCAGCATTAGATACAAAAGCAGAATTGTATAGTTCTTTTGAACTGTTTTGTTTGATTAATCTGTTCTTACTGGAACGCAAGAATTCAACATTTTCCCAACCTTATACACCTTCCATTTTGAAGGTCCAATTTCCTTCGTTAACACCAGCTGGTGCAACACATGCTTCTGTGGCATGATCATATGACGGGATGAGGACATCATGATGACAGCCTCATTCAGCTGGGAGTTTCTTCAACTCACTTCACTGGGCTTTCTCAGTGTTGTAGACGATATTTTTTTTTCCTGACAATGGGTTGCTCACTATTTATGCTTTCTTTCGCTGTTTGTTATTTACACTGGATAACTTTTTCTTATAAGTCACAAGCTGTTGAGTTTTTCTCTTCCTTGTTCCTAAGCCACTGTGAATTCACTCTTTCTATTTGCCCACAAGACACTCTCAGTGAACTTTTACATGAATCAGTGTTTGTGCCAAGATTAATTAAAATAGTGGCATCCAAGGAGAAGATAATCTGTTAATTAAAAGTAGGGGTCAGAGTAATTATGCACATTTCTAAATTGAATACACAAAGGTAATTACATTCAATTCTTTTATCACTTCACCAGGAAGGTCAGTCTCATTATGGATAGGAATGATTGGCCTAAAGTCACCCAGATGACAAGGAGTAAAGGATCCCCCAGCTGATGTCATCATGTCTTTCTTGCTAAGCCACACTGCAAGGAAGGTTCAAATGTGTGGTAGCTCAGGACAGACTGAAACCCTCAACTTCTGTATAAGACAGGCAAAAGTATAGATGCAGAGGAGTCTTGGTTATTACTAGGCCTGGGTACATCTGATGATATTTATAGGGTTTATTTCCAGCTAGGCTAAGAGAAGTTCTGATTTGGAGCTGCAATACCTGAGCCTGACTCGTTGCTTCTTTTTCTCCAGCAATTTTACGCAGCTTCCTCACCTAGCAGGAACAAAGGAGAATCTGCACCTGGCACAACAAGTCCAGGCTGAGTGGAAGGAGTTTGGTTTGGATTCTGTTCAATTGGTGCATTATGATGTCTTGCTCTCTTACCCTGATGATGCTAAGCCCAACTACATCTCAATAATTGATGAGCATGGAAATGAGGTACACAAAATATCAATTTTTGCAATAAGGGAACAAAATCACCTTCATACACCTGGGAAGACTGGGAGGGAAAACTATCCTCTGCTCTCTTAGTGGTGTGGGGCCTGATCCAAGTCTCACTGAAATCAGGGGTTCCAGTTTGCTTTTATATTTTGTGTATTTGTTTTTTAATGTATGTGCTAGGAATACTTATAATTACCCTGATTTATATAGCATGCTGACATACTTGGAATAAAGGAGAATTATGTAAGAGGAATACTTTATGTAATTCAGTTGTTTTAAAATTGTTGTGTTATTCAGGAAGAGGAAAGCAACCATGGTCAGCATCAGTATTTTCACTGGTTCTTTATACAGTATCAGTGATCATGCTAAATTCACTTTCTTGAAGATTAGAGTTTACACCTCAAAATGCACAATCACAACTAACATCAGTTCATTACGGGATAGCTCTAGTGCTCATAGAAGCCCCAGAGATGAGCAGAATGCAAGCGTTTTTTACCATTATGATTAACCTGCTGCTACCTACTGGACTGATACCACCTTGAGGGACCTTGTGTCCATTTAAGCTGGATTCTGTGTGAAGAGTAGAGGTGAGGTTTGTAAGATCACACATTAAACCTGAATATTGAAAGGAGTGCCCCATGCTTGCTTAAGTTTTGGCCACTCCTCACTTAGAGTTCTAAAACTAGAGTCCTTTCAACTGCAAATACATGTGAAATGTGCCTGAATAGACAGTACTTCTTCTTCATATTACCTGCTTTACCTTTTTTCTTTTCTTCTAGATTTTCAACACATCATTATCTGAGCCTCCTCCTCCAGGATATGAGGCTGTTAGAAATGTGGTGCCACCTTACAGTGCGTTCTCAGCCCAAGGAGTGCCGGAGGTAACATAGTAGAATAGTAAGAGAAATAAATAGAAACAGAAATAGAAATAGGGACAGAAGTAATAGCAACAGAGACAGAAATAGAAATAATAGAAATAGAAAAGATGGAATGCCATAGCATAGCACAGAATCGCATACAGCAGTATAGAATAATGGGAAATTCCTGGGTCTTAAGCTTTAGCTCAAAAACTGAGATGTCACCAGTAGAAAAGATGTCCTATCTCTGATGTACTTGGGAGCTTTGCAATGAAGCAACATTCAACTTGAGCAGTCACACATACATGTTCATTTTTTTTTTTCTAGCTTGAGTCAGAACTGGGTTTTATTTTTACCTTTTCCTTTAAAAATACAGTAATAAATCTTGAATGTTGTCAGCAGCTATAAGCTTTTTCAGGTATTTCTATTACTGTGTACCATTGTTTCCCATCTTGGTGAACAAATAAGATGACTGTTATATTTACGTAGTGAAATGAATAACCTAATTTTCCAAAGGCTGCTTGCCGAAGGCTCACCCTGACAGGTATAACTGCACAGTATGGTTGAAAATGGCTTTTGCTAGCATTGCTAGATGGCAGTAAAAGTGTTGCTGTGATCTGAGGTTAACACTAATACTTTCTATCTTGTTGTACAGATGGTACGAGCTGACAGGACTTCCTTTTAAAAAGCTGGCCTGTGTAATGGGAGTTTTCTATCCTATGATCGTTAGCGGTGCAATTAATATTTTGTAAGACTAGATTTTTCTGTTGTTGTTCTCAGTCTCTTTCCTGTCTGTACATAGAATAATGTAGGCTGGCAGGGCCCTCCGGAGGTCATCTGGTCCAGTCTCTGCTTTAAAGTTGGATCTGGCTTTGAAGCCTGCTAACAATGCTTTTACTCACACAGCCCAGTATTTGTCATGTACTTTCTGAAATTTGTTAATAAGTTCTGCAAGTCCAGAAAACAAAAGGCATCCTGTATTCATTTGCCTCAGATACTCAAAGGAACATGGAAAATCAGGCAGATAGTCTGTACCGTGGGATATGACAGCTTCCAGTGTTTTAAGAATTGCAGTAGGAATTTTGGAACATAATATAAGCTAAAATTCATGGATTGTGACTTTCTATTGTAGCATAATATCTCCAAAGAAAGACAGAATAACTTCACTGCTTTATTTGGTTTCTGGAGGACTACTGTAGGTGATGGGAAATAATAATGACAAGTTTTAAAAGCTGCAGCTTCCTCCTTTAGAAAATTATTTTATTTTAATTAAATTTAAGAACATTGTTTCTGATACATAAATAAATAGATAAAAGGACATATTGTCCTTTCAAAATATGATGCTTATGTTCATCTTACTGCATAGTACTTTGACAGTAGCTCCAGGTACCTGGCTGGTTGTTAGCAACAACACGTTCCAGTGAGCAGCTGTATGCACCTGTACTGCAAGCAGGGAGCATGCATACTGCTCAGCAGTGGGAATACTTTGTGGGTTCAGGGCTCTTCTGTGTTTTCCCAGGCCTGTTTATGGATTTTATGTTAAAAGCCATTCTGTTAAAAAGCAGAACTAAGCTGTGGAGACAGATATTTGGAACATGCCAAGTGAAATTAGTCATAGGTTCTCTTTCAGCTTACTAACTTTGTGAATGATTCCTGCATAAAGCTCCAAGTTCAGTGAAGGGAGAAGGCTGTAAAATACCTGCATCCCAGGCAAACTGTACCCTCACGAGTAGGCCACCTTCCTGCAGAGTGGGAGAAATGGATCAAAGTTCTTAGAATCACAGAATGGTTTGGGTTGGAAGGGACCTTGAAGACCACCTAGTTCCAACACCCCTGCCATGGGCAGGGACACCTTCCACTAGACCAGGTTGCTCCAAGCCTCGTCCAGCCTGGCCTTGAACACTTCCTGGGATGGGGCCTCCACAGCTTCTCTGGGCAACCTGTTCCAGTGCCTCACCACCCTCTCCAGGAAGAATTTCTTCCTGATATCTAATCTAAACCTCTCCGCTTGACATGCTTATTGACATTCTTGTTTTGAATTCTACCTCTTTCTATCAGGGTGAGTTAGTGTATGTGAATTATGGCCGCACTGAAGACTTCTTTAAGGTAGAACGTGAAATGGGAATTAACTGTACAGGAAAGATTGTTATTGCCAGATATGGGAAGATCTTCAGAGGAAATAAGGTAATGCCTCTGTATAAAAATGTTACTTGTGTTGTCCTTCAGTTGATTTCAAGGGACTGGAACACTTACCTAGTCAAGTATTCTGGATATTTTAGCATAACTGCTTTTTCCTGGAGCAGTGTTCAAAGATGATTGTTTAGCAGAAGATACAAAAGATAGATTTTTATATATATAAAATACATCTATAGGAAGATAAATAAATTGGAAAATGTTATGTATTTTTATATTCATTTGCATACTGTACATTGTTCCAAAATATTGCTGACATTCTTGGATAATGCACTCTATCCTGAACTAGACTCTTCTTCTCTATTGTTTCAACTGTGCTTTAAGATGCCTCTATTGTGTTTCTGTACACCAGGCAGAGACTATACCTGTATGTTGTTAATTTAAAATTCTGTATTTGTTTATTCAATTCCCCTATCATATAAATATTTTTAAACTACAGATGTCTGCAGATCCAGGGCCTGACAGGAAAGGACATAGTCATGTGTATGCTTCAGGCATACATTCAAGTTATTTCCTCAATAGGGATGGTACCAGACCATCTATTTAAGTGTGTTTGGCTCTTGTACAAAAAGTAGTTTGACCTTAATTTGGGCAGGACTATAATTTGATTTTCTTAGTTACCTAAGGGTATCAAACACTGAATCTCCTCACTGGGATGCCAAGTCTTGTTACATGCTGTTGACTAGTCTTCTGTGTGCTTTTAAGTGGGTGATTAACTGTTTTACATACATACCATTTTCAACAGTGAAAAGTGATATGTAACTCATATTTTGGGTCAGATAATATTTTCAGTAAATTGTTTACCACCCTTAAAATACTATCTGAATGGAAAAGACATAAAAATTGAAGAAGTAATCGCTGTCTGTGAATCTTTCCTTAAAATTAAATACAAATATATCAGAGTTACTAACATCCAGAGGGGCAGTTGTCCTGTGGTTTGGAAATTACATGCCCCTATTGACACTAAGGGATGTTATGGTAGTATTTCTAGTGACTATCTGTATACTGAATAATTTGGTAGCCTGTATAAAATCTGGAGCACTGTACTGTCATTTTCTGATTTCCTCAAGTTGTGCAAGAATAGAATAGAGGTTGAAGGCAAGTATTGTATTTCTCCAAAAAAGCTATGTTATTTCTGAATTAGAATACCCAAATTTAAAACTGTTGAGGGTTACTTGTCACTCAGTCACTGTACATCACTGTCTCACCTAGCAGCAAAACAGATTGGGATATCAAAATGACATATATTTTCTCTCTCACTTGCTACCAAGCAGGTTTATACAATTATAAAGTCACATGAGAACACTTTTTAAAAATCAAAACAGCATACAGGTCAGTCCTTCTGCCATAATAAGCCCAAGATACACACTTTGGAGCTAGTTTTGTTCACAGCAAAGGCAGTTTCAAGCTATCCAATAATAATCTTCCTTTATAGTCTGAACCCTGAGATACGTTCAGGAGATCGTTTAGGTAAGTAAGGTCAATACATGACTGACTGAAAGATAAATTTGCATCAGTGTGATACAGTTTTTTCCATCCATGATGTGTTCATTTCAGTAATCATTCAATTGTATTGATCTCAATGACAGAATACAAACTTAGATTATGTAGTAACACTGTGAGGGATGTTTTCCATGTTACTACAGTTATCTCCTAACTAAACTTCAAAGCAACAACGAACCTCTTACTTACGTATGGAACCTGATATCTGCATATATGTTTTCAGGAAATTTTATGAATTGAGACAGTTATGGGCCCTTTACTTATCCCAAGCATTGTAAAAGGCCCTGAAGAATAATCACAGTAATTTATACTTTCTTTTGCTCCTTGAACTCTGGTGTTAAGCTATAAAGGACTGGATAGGGACCAGAGATGTGCTTTGCAGGTGAAGAATGCTGAATTGGCAGGCGCCAAGGGAGTTATTCTGTACTCTGACCCTGCTGACTACTGTGCCCCAGAAGTAGATCCCTATCCAAATGGCTGGAACCTTCCAGGTGGAGGAGCCCAGCGTGGGAATGTATTAAACCTGAATGGGGCAGGGGATCCTCTGACACCAGGTTATCCTGCAAAAGGTGAGTGATGCTAGAGGAGTCATGCTTTGAGGGTCTGTTTTCAGGAAGAGAGGGGAAGGTAATGGTGATGTTCTTTCCCTTGGAACAAGTCACATGTTTTCTTGGTCTTTCTGTTGCTCAAAAGAGGCGGCTTTGGGCATTATGTCATAAGCCACATCTGCTAATGGTGCATGAGAGAAAGTGAGGGGATGTTAAGGGGCACAGTGCAGTGCTGGTCTGCTTAACTTCACAGATACACCCAAGTTAGCCCAGAGATTGTGACACAGGTATTCGGCACCTGAAGCCCTAGTCTTCTGCTTCTCATCAGCAAGGAGCCAGTCTGCACAGCTCACAGGTTTCTTTGCTTTTGCAGTTCTCCTTTCTGCAGGATTTGGGCTGCTTTCCCTCCACAAGAGCTCCTGCTGGCAATGCTGAGATCTTTCATGCTGGTTCTCATGTGACCTGGCTGCTGCTGAGGCTCCTGAGAAGATGACCATTCTTCACTGGTTCATCACCTTCACCTCATGCTTCCTCAGATGCTCTGCCTAAGCCATTTCATTTAGCACCTACCCCAGATAATTTTGACTGAAATGCATTAAGAACTGTGCATGCCAGCACTTGGGGCAGCATATCTGAGGGAGGCAGTCATCTCAAGAAAAGCAGACCCCATGTGTTGGGGAAGGATGCCTCTAGTCAGCACAACTTGAGCTTCACAACAGCAGCATGGCAGGAGCCAGATTTCTGGCATGAGGAATATTTCTGGTTCCTCACGCTGGAGTCGGTGATCTCATAGATGAATCCCTGTCTGCTTCCCTCAGCAAGGGTCCTTGTGAATGTTGTAGTAAAGAGGAAACTTCTTTTCCATACCTGCTGGCTTGCAAACATCAAATTTTGTCCCCGTGGTGAAAAATTAAGATTCTCGTTTGTAAAAAAACCATGATTTGTATTTGAGCTTTGTCAGAACAAAATGTAGACTTCATTTTGTTCACAAAAACAGCAAAACAGAATATGCAGTAGCCCATTGTATAAGATTTTATCTGCACCTCTTACCAACTGGCAAAAGTGTTTTAGTTCTCAGCTGAATGTTCCAAACATCAGACTGCAGGTTCCTGCTTTGCACTTGTTCTTTACCTGTGGCCTTGTCTGAAGATCTTTTCCATGGATAGAAATAGTTTTACCTGAAAGTATTTCAACACAAAAAATTAACAAATAATTTTAACGTTTCCAGCCAGCTCTAAATGCCTGACTGCAGATACTCTGTGAGAACCTGTGTTAGTGTGTCTCTGAAAACATGTGGATAAAGCGTAAAGAATGAAGTCACTGAAGAAATGTCAGCCTGACTTTGAGGAAAGTGAAATGATTGTCCCTACAGTGCTAGGGCTGTGCTATGAACTGTACAGATTCCTTCTGAGAGTTGTAAATATGAAAATATTTGCCTTGTGCTTTCAGAATACACCTACCGATTAGACAAAGCCAGTGGTGTAGGTCTCCCCAGAATTCCAGTTCATCCCATTGGCTATCATGATGCTGAGACATTACTGCGGTAAGTGTGTATGTGAGACGTGAGGAATTTTAAGCAGATTGTTTCTGAAAGTTACGGGAGTATTTGAAAAGAAAGGCAAAAGGCTTTTGCAGTGTGTTTCTACTGTAGTTGTTGAACTAGTGTGGTTGTCATTAGGTTCTCTGTAAGAGGTGAATGTGTTCTCTACTGTTACATATCAGCTATGTGCAGTGTGATCTGGAAAGGGTCATTTCTGATGTACCATGATCAGCCAAGTATAGTGAAGGTATAAAGTGCCTCTCAGTTTGAATAAAGGCAAAAAAATTTCGAGGATGGCATGATAACGTGTCTTTTGAAAAAGACCACAGATGAAGTTACTAATTTTTTTCAGGAAAATACTTGCCATGGCTGTTTGATGAGACAGTGTTTGTTCTGTTTTCTGGTAAATGAAGACGTGTGCTTTCTCTCATCAGGTGCTCTATGTTGCTTAAATATGAAATGTTGCTAGTGAACTGGTATAACGACGCTGGGGAAACTGAAGTATTACAGGGGATTTAAGAGACTTCTGCATGTAAATGTGCTTACTACACATGCAGGTGACATGAAGACTGGCTACCAGCTTGCCAGCTGTGCCAAATTCATAATTACTTTAAAAAATCAAATAAGTTCTCTGAAAAAACTAACATGGGATTGAGTTGTCAGGTGTATTATTCTCCTAAAAATGTAGCAGTAATCATGTGTATCAGCTGGAGAGATACAGAGCAGGATATACCAGGGTTGGCAACAGTACACAGGTGTTTAGGGCAGAAGTGAACATAAACTTGGGTGCGTATTAGTGTAGGAATTTTACATCTAAATCATGTGAGCAATCATTCTGCTCAGTGTGATGCCTCTAAATACAGAGTAAAAAAACCCATCCTATTTTGGTTTTATATGCAGGTTTCCTCTTAAGTATTGAAGGTATTTATTTTTATATGAGGCAGAATTTTACTGCCTTTGGTGTCTTTGCATACCTGATGTTCATTAGCACTGTTCTAGTGTTTTTCCTAATTCTTCCCAAATTTTTTATGGACTATTATATCTCTAAGCTGTCTTCTTTAAAACTTTATGGTCATCCCTGTTACAGTGATAACTATATAGGTGTAAAGACTCTTTTTTCCACTGACAACTAGTAGTGGTAGAGCAGATTAATTTGTATAAATGTGATGTAGCTAGATATTTCTCTTCAGTAAGTTGTAAATAATTCTAGAACTTGATTTTAATAATTATGAATGAGATCTAAATCCTCTAAAAATACTGCATTCTTGTTTTCACTTTCATCTTGTGAAGTCATCACTTCTAGTTATACCTGTTATTATATTTTTATATAACAAATAAACAGAGGACTTGAAGACATGCAGTGAAGTGTTCTGTGGAACAAAACTTGACTGAAGTATGCATTTGCAATATATATATTTTGCCTAATAAGAACCAGAACATCCAGCATATTTTTTAATATGTTTTGAATGTTTCTCACAAGTTCATGTCAAAAATATAAGTTCTTTAGACTAGGTAAATATGGGTGATTGTAATCCACTGGATTACTGCATTTGCAGTTGTGTTAACTGAGAAAAAGGTATCTCGCCTTTGACAACAGAACAAGAAATGGTGGCTTGGACTGATCATGTTTCTCAGTCTTAGACATCTTTGAAACACATCAACTCTTGTCTCTGCTACTAGACAAAACGGTGGCCAGGGACTGGCCCTGGAGGACAACTGGCTACGCTGCTAAACTGTTGCAAATGCAGTTCAAGGCAGTAGAAAGTTCTAGTGACAGTTTACAAGGGGCAGTTGGTATGCAAAACCTTTGGAGGCCAACACTCTTTTCCAGGAGGGCTGTAGGCCATTCCAAGCTGATCTCAATGCCCAGGACTATTCCTGTGTTAGTTTACTGGTATTAATGTGGCTAAAAAGACAGATACTCTCCTGTGGTATAAATTATGTAAGACAAAGGCCATCACTGTGGTCTCTTGTGTGTGGGACCTAACAAAGTGTGGTTCCTGGTTCCTCGTCTATGTTTGGTGCTATGGTAAAATGTCTGTAACTAATAATGATACTTTATTTTTTTTCATAATAGCAATATGGGAGGGTATGCACCACCGCATAGTAGCTGGAAAGGAAACTTGAATGTCTCTTACAACGTTGGTCCTGGTTTCACAGCAAATTACTCTACAAGGTCAGTTTTATTTCATAAGGAAAGCATGCTTAGTATCAGAGAAAAACAGGCAGAGCAGTAGCATTTGACCACAGGTAGAGTAGTTGGGGCTATTTGATTAATTCCTTTGATCATGACCATTTCCTGGGCTGAAAGGTGCTCAGTGCATGCTTTACATCTTCAGTGGATGGATATGACTGAATTGCTTTAGTTTCCAGGTAGTTTCATTTGAAAAGCATCTACCCGTTGACAAATTATTTGATAAGACTGATTATTTTTGGGAACTGAATTTTTGCACTGTCTTTATTGAATTCATATGGGTCCAGCTACTGGTCTTACCTATTGCCTCATATAAAAACTATTAACTTAAAAGTCAAGTCTTCTAGAAAAAAGCACTTTAACTACAATGTCATTTTTATTGCTTAGAATTATTTTTAAACTGATTTAGTAATTAGAGTTTATGACTAAAGTCCATGTGTTTCAGTATTGGCTGAGCTATTGTACTGACTTCAAATGAACCGTTTGACGTTATCCCTATGTCTTAGTCATACCACATGAAAAATCTTTTCTGAAAAGTATACTGGCAACCCTTGAGGATGAGCTGTTGCACCTCCAGCTGTGTTGTAGATAAAAACTCCAGTTGTCTGATTTTCTGCTGCCTGAGCTGCCACATCAGTTTCGACTCTGCTGGAGTAATTTCTGATTTGCACCAACATCTAGATGATTATTTACCTTTTTAACATCAAATAGTTTTCATTTTTCTTTCACTCTTCCACATTTAAAACTAGCTGCTAGCAAAAAATCTTTAAATTTGGAGCTCTGAGCCAGTTATCCATATAAATCTTACTGACATCAATGACAATACATAGCTTTCAAGAGCTAAATGCTGTTCTTGGTTGCCCAAGTATAAATCCAGAAAAAAACCTACCCTGACATCTTTTCAGCTTTGCTTTGGTTTAATGGAGGGTAAATTTGGCTGAAATGCTTTCCTTACGAGTTATATTGTATACTTTTGAAAGGTGTCAAGATGTTTTATTATCTAATCTGGTGGATTTTCTTTTTGGATTTTCTTCTGATACACTAGAAAGGTGAAAATGCACATTCAGAGCCACAATGAAATAACGAGGATTTACAATGTGATTGGTACCATCAGAGGCAGAGTGGAACCAGGTAAAATCATTTGTCTTCAGTGTAACGTGAGCTTGCAGTGACCCCTACATGCACTTCATAGTTACAGGGGGGAAATGAGGAATATAGTTTTCTCTGAAATATTGCACTACATGTTCATCATTGTTAAAATATTTATTGCATCAGCTTTCATATGGTTCAGGGTATGTCAGCACTCTCACTGCAAAGCTGATTTTCAAGGGGGAGTCATAACCAAAACAGAAATATTTATCTTCAGGCAAGTAAATTTGCAATTGAAAGAATATTCTGAAGTGGATATTCTTCCCTACTAACATGGGAATAGATTTTACATTCCGATGGAAGACATCATATCCACCACTACTGACTTTTTGCCTGTCTTATAGTCTTTTGTAACTAGTGCAATTTTACACTCTAAAAACCCATGTATATAGACATCCCTAGGATGGTGATGACATCATTTAACTTGTAACTGCAGCACTTCCCTGTTGCTTGAAACACAACTGTTAACTGTGTTACAGTAGCACAGAGGTCTAGTCTGACTCTGATATTATTAATCACATCTCTGTCATGATTTGGACAACCCTTTTTATGATTGACTACATACATTTTCAGAGAACTACTGCATTTAGCACACCTTAATGCTGTGAGTTGGCATGCTCTGCAAATATAATTAGTGGATCAGCTTTACCATGAAACATACTGTTGTAAAATATGGAAAAATGTTTCTGCCTTCAGAGGAAAGCTGCAGTGTTTCTAATAATAGAAGTGAAATTATGGGATTTAGGAGGTTTTAAGTCTCATGGGATCAAGTTAGCACTGACAGAAAATGCAGAAAAATGTCTCTGGAGGTTTAAAATGTCTTTTGCCTTTCTGTCACGTATACTATAAACTATTAAGCTTTGTTGCCTGACACCTACATGGAAATTTAGATATTACTTCCAATTAATTCCTATGGCAGGAAAAAAGTTTTTTCTAAGTAAGCCTCCATAATTATTTTCTCTAGACAGGTATGTCATCCTGGGAGGCCACCGTGACTCATGGGTATTTGGTGGCATTGATCCTCAGAGTGGGGCAGCTGTAGTTCATGAGATTGTGAGGAGCTTTGGAAAACTGAAGAGGAAAGGTAATGTAATGAAAGAACAAAGCACACCGGAATCACTGCTCACAGCAGTGCCCACTGACTTCTCTGGGATTTAAGCATATGCTTAAGAATAAACGTGTGTATCTCACCATTCTCTCAAATAAGCATGTTGATCTGCAGCTGTTAATTAGTTCCAGTTACATCCTCGGTATATGTGCGGTACTTCTACTCAGGAGAAAGCACACCTAAAGGAAACATAACACGAAATGTGGGATACTGAAATAAATATGACATTTAATGCAATTGATTACTGTGCATTTGACACAGATCAGGCTGGTCAGACTGGCTGTTTCAATGGTCCTATAAAACTGATAAAGGGGTGAACTGATCAAGGCTTCATTGGCACAACACTGAGAACCTTCTCAGCCCTTGGCAGTAGTTTGGAGACAAACACAAGGGCAAATAAAGCATGTCTGTGCAGTGTAGAGAAAGAGCTGTGCAGGTAATGGTGGTAATGGAGGTAATGGAGGTAATGGAGGTAATGGAGGTAATGGTTAAAATACTTCATGCCTAGTTACATTAGAATAGGAAAAAATGCCAACTGTACCAAGTTTCTGCTGCTGTCAGAGCAAATGCTATCTCTGTATCTGACATGCCATGGAAAGCAGCTCTGACATTGCTCAAATACTGTGCTAGAGAAGGTTGCTTTGCCTACCCATTACGCTTTAAACCTGTTGACATACTGGATATCAGGGGAAACTGTCTTTGGGAATGCAAACTGTAAGAAAAGTAAAAAAGAAAGCAAAAAAGAAAAGGTTCCAGTAGCTTCAAAGAAAACTTTGGCAAAGATACAGGGGCAGAGCAATAGAGACTGTTCCATTTGGCCAGGGTTTAAATTGAATGCAGAACTTCAAGTGAAAGATCTTTGTTTTGAAGGTCAAAGTTACATGGAATTCCTTAGGTTTTGAAATCCAGCCTTTGGGACACAGGTCAAAGATAGATATGAAAACATGCCAAGCAGTTCTCTGTCAAAGTAGACGCTGGTATATAAGGTGTACTGAATTGAACAGAGCAAAAAGAGTAGAAAAGCTTTCTTTCAAGAATTTGTGCACAAGCACATTATTTTTCCTTGTTCAGAGTTTTAAATTTTAGAAAATTTTCCTGCAGTTAAAGCCTAGAGAAGAAAAAGAATACATTATTTTGCACAATATTGAAGTAGAAATGAGATTGCTACAGAATTAATAAACCAATAAGATTATATTAGTGAAGGAGCTGATGTTAAAAGTTTCTTAAGCACACATCTTTCCTCACAGATCAGGATAAAAGATGCGCCCCCCCCCAATTACATTTGTTTTCATCTCAGTTACCATGTAACAAGTAGTCTTTATTTCTGTAATACAGTTTTCATGGTCTTTTATGGCAGGCTGGAGGCCAAGGAGAACAGTGATATTTGCAAGCTGGGATGCAGAGGAATTTGGCTTGTTAGGATCGACAGAGTGGGCTGAGGTAAACCAGTAGTGTTAAAAAAGAAACTTTGACAGTGGCAGATCTTTGAGAAATCTGTACTAGAAAGCAACACTCCCTCCTCCTCCCTCTCCAATCTCCCCTCTCCCCTCTCCCTCTCCTTCTTCCTCTCTCCTCTTTCTTTTGTTTCCCTTTGAACTACCAGGAATATATGGCCCCTTGCAGTATATGATGTCTTTCTCCAAAACAGTTGTTACTTCTGTGAATGGAAAAACAGTTCTCAGGAAAAAAAGTTCATTAACATTTTCTTCCTCTTTTCCTTTTTATAGGAAAATGCCAAAGTATTGCAGGCACGAGGAGTGGCTTACATCAATGCAGATTCCTCCATCGAAGGTACGTAGTTTGACTTGTGTTTTACAGAACAGGGACAGTATGTACGGATGGTGGGGAGGCATTTTGGCTTGGAAGTCCATGAAAGGTCCAGTGTAATAATGCTGCTGTATTAGCTCGGGAGTAGATGTGGGGGGAAACCGTGACCCAGAATCATGAAGTGCTTTCCGATACTCCTGTTGCTTCAGGGAAGAAGTCCATCACAGTAGCTACACTATTTGGGAGGTCATGGGAAAGGACAAGAACTGTTGTGCCCCTGACAGCAGTTCGATAGCAACTCTGTTGTGTGTAATAAACATGGGGACATGCAAAAAGCTCTTAAGGATTGCTTCAAAAGCTGGGCTGAAACTCATCCTAACCAATACAAATGCACTGGCAAGATCACAGGAGGAGAACTCTTCTACAGGAAGAATCAGCTTGTCCTTGTAGAAGGAGTAGCTCCCTAGTCCCTATCTTATTAATAAATAATGCCATGAGGTTTCAGCTGAGTAGAACTTCCTTCTTCAGATACATAGTTTTTTCCTGTTTTTCAGGAAACTACACACTACGAGTGGATTGCACGCCACTGATGTACAGACTGGTGTACAGCCTGACTAAAGAGGTAATATTGCTAGAAATTTTCAGCCAGCATGTTCAGTGCTCACTTACTGGATGGGGGTCTATGTATAAAACACGGTGTCAGATGTTTCTGTCTTTTCTAACTGCAGTGCCCCTTTTAAGTCAATAATTAAGTTACTGGAGCTTTTTCCCAGGAGTGGCAAAGGGATTTCAAGTTTATACCTTTAAATTATTAGCTATTCAGGATAGGGGATTTTTCCACTCCTGTTAAAGTGTTCCTTGGGGGCTTACAAGGAAGCTGGGAGGGGACTTTTTACAAGGGCCTGTAGTGACAGGACAAGGAGTAACGGGTTTAAATTGAAAGCGGGGAGGTTTAGATTAGATATCAGTAAGAAGTTCTTCAGAGAGGGTGGTGAGGCACTGGAACAGGTTGCCCACAGAAGCTGTGGATGCCCCATCCCTGGAAGTGTTCAAGGCCAGGCTGGATGAGGCTTTGAGCACCCTGGTCTAGTGGAAGGTGTCCCTGCCCATGGAAGGGGGGTTGGAACTATATGATCTTTAAGGTCCCTTCCAACCCAAACCATTCTATGTTTCTATGATTCCTTCTAAGAATAAAAATTAAGAAATGCCATTTGCCAGAGGACAGAAACAAGAACAAACTTGGCTGCCCAGTCCAGCTATTAGGATGCCCATGGTAGTGGGACAGTCTGACTCCCTTTAGGCAGGGGAAGAAACTAAGCTTCCTACAGTGTTGTTTTTAGCATGGTGTGACAGGTTTGTTCAATATGCTCGAGATTCAGTGTATCGTGTTAGATATTTGTTGACTCTGATCACAGTGCTCTTGCATGTATTTGTGTGGCAAACAAAATTAAAAGGCAGGGACCTTTCCTGGGAAATAGCCTTACCATCTTAGGTGTAAGATGTTCCTTGCTTTGAGAGTGGGTCTTAGAGGCTGGCACTACGGGCCTTTTATTTCTGTTTTTCTTTCTGTTCAGCTGTATTACAGATAAATAATAATCTTAGAATGGTTTGGGTTGG